ATATCCAATAAATGCATAGTCACAGATGACTTTCCTCTGACAGAAAGTAAAAAACTGGTTGAAGGCTCAATACACTGAATAACTGATAAAATATCCACATCACAAATTATGACATTAAAAACATGAAAGATGGAATTAGAGACAGCAAAAATATAGTGTGTGTGTATGAGATCAAAATTAAGGTGTTATTGGCTTAAAATAGCCACTTATAAGATGTTTTATGTATCCCTCAGGGTAACCACAAGCCAAAATCGATAACAGATAAACAAAAGAAAAAAATTATATCCAAAGCATATCACTATATGAAGCCATCAAACCACAAAGAAAGAAAACAAGAGAGCTAGAAAGGATCAAAGAAAAAAAAAACTAGAAAACAATAAACAAAATGGAACTAGGAAACTTTTACCTGTTAATAATTACTTGAATGCAAGTGGATTAAATTGTTCCATCAAAAGACATCTAGTGACTAAATGGATTAAAAAAGTAACAAGATCTACATATATTTTGCCTCCAAGAGACTCATTTTACCGTAAAAGAAACTCATAAACTGAAAAATGAAAAAAACGACATTTCATACTTCTTTGGTCAGTGAGAGAAAAATGACCCATCAGCTCTGAAGATCAAGAAAGAGGTGAACCCCCAGTTTTTTCTTAGATATCTAACCCTCAGTGTGGACCACCCCTAATGGAAGGAAAAACAAAACCCCCCAAAGCCCCACATTGTGTCAAGGAAAACTCAAGCATGGCACCAGACAGGAATTTGGAGAGGGAATCATCTATTCCCCACTGCCCTGCTCTTTAGTGCACTGTTGCAGACTCAGCAGTGACTGTTCCCATTGGGATCCAGAGAATGTGGGCTAAAAGAGTATGTTTCTCAGTCTTTTCCAGCAGCTCCAGTCCCACTGAAGGCAAATGTACACTGAGGAAAGACACATTTTGTGCTTCTTCATTGCTTCTGCCCCATCCCTAGTTGTTGGATCTTACTCCTAAGTGCCATCTACAGGACTACAGCCTGACTTATACAACCAAAAGAAATTACCTCAGGATGACAACATCTGTGAAAGCCACAAATCTTACTGCATCCAAGAAACCCATACAGAGCCTTGGCATCTTAAAAACGACCCCAAAATAAAACCATTTTAATCATATACAATATACATCACAGCAATACCTCCAAAAGAAAGAAAAAGAATAAAAAAATCAAGAAGCCCCACTCAAACAATAGCAAATTTAAGAAAGAAAGAACAGAAATAAAGAACAAGAAAAGAAGAAGGAGAGGGAGAAGAAGAATAAGAAGGAGAAGAAAAGTGTCCGCTATTCCGATGGGAAGAAACAAGCACAAGAACTCTGGCAAGAAAATTAAAAAAAAATGTTTCATCAGTTCCAAAAAATCTCACTAACTACTCAGCAATAGACTAACCAGAATGAAATATCTAAAATGGCACGATAGAATGCACAATATGGATTACAAAGAAATTCAAAGAGATCCAAGAGAAAGTTGAAATGTAACACAAAGAAGCCAGAAAAATGGTCAAAGATTTGAAGCACCTAACTGTGTTAAAAAATGAATAAACAAAACTTCTGGAATTAAGAAGTTTAAAAATTATTTTTTAATTTTACTTCAAGTTCTCGGGTATATGTGCAGATCTTGCAGGATTGTTTTACAGGTACACACATTCCACTGTGGTTTGCTGCCTTCATTACCCTATCACCTACATTAGGTATTTCTCCTAGTGTTATCCCTCCCCAATCTCCCCATCCTCTGCTATCCCTATCCAAACTCCCCACACATCAACAGGTCCTAGTGTGTGATCTTCCCCTCTTTGTGTCCATGTGTTCTCATTGTTCAACAACTACTTATGAGAGAGAACATGTGGCATTTGGTTTTCTATTCTTGTGTCAGTTTGCTGAAAATTATGGTTTCCAACTTTTTCCATGTCCCTGCAAAGGACATGAATGCATCATTTTTTATAGCTGCATAGTATTCCACGGTGTATATGTGCCACATTTACTTTATCCAGGTGATCATTAATGGTCATTTGGGTTGGTTCCAAGTCTTTGCCATTGTAAACAGTGCCGCAAAGAACATAAGTGTGAATGTGTCTTTATAATAGAACAATTTATAATTCTTTGGTTATATAGCCAGTAATGGTATTACTGGATCAAATGGTATTTCTATTTCTAGGTCCTTGAGGAATCACCACACTGTCTTCCACAGTGTCGAACTCATTTACACTCCCACCAACAATGTAAAAATGTTCCTTTTTCTCCATATCCTCTCCAGCATCTGTTTTCTCCAGATTTTTTAATGATCAGTATTCTAACTGGCATGAGATGCTATCTCAATGCTGTTTTGATTTTCATTTTTCTAGTGACCAGTGATGATGAGCACTTTCTTATATGTTTGTTGGCTCCATAAATGTCCTCTTTTGAAAAATGTCTGTTCATATCCTTTACCCACTTTCAAATGGAGTTGTTTGTTTTTTCTGGTAAATTTGTTTTAGTTCTTTGTAGATTCTGCATATTAGCTCTTTGTCAGATGGGTATATTGCAAAAATTTTTTCCCATTCTGTTGGTTGCTGGTTTACTCTAAGCAAAGCTCTTAAGTTTAATTAGATTTCATTTGTCTATTTTGGCTTTTGTTGCCATTATTTATGGTGTTTTAGTCATGAAGTCCTTGCCTATGCCTATGTCCTGAATGGTAATGCCTAGGTTTTCTTCTAGGGTTTTTATGATGTTAGGTCTTATGTTTAAATCTTTAATCCCTCTGAAGTTAATTGTTGTATAAGGTATAAGGAAGTGGTCCAGTTTCAGCTTTCTGCACATGCCTAGCCAGTTTTCCCAACACCATTAATTAAACAAGAAATTTTTTCTCCATTGCTTGTTTTTGTCAGGTTTGTCAAAGATCAGATGGTTGTAGGTGTGTGGCTTTAATTCTGAGGCCTCTGTTCTGTTTCATTGGTCTATATCTCTGTTTTGGTTCCAGTACCAGGCTGTTTTTTTTCATTACTATAGCCTTGTAGTATACTTTGAAATCAAATAGTGTGATGCTTCCAGCTTTGTTCTTTTTGCTTAAAATTGTCTTGGTAAATTTATAAAACTAAATGTTCACATGAGAAGGAAGTAAAGATAAAATCAACACCCCACTGTCAAAATTAAAAGAACTAGAGGACCAAGATCAAACAAATTCAAGAGCTGGCAGAAGACAAGAAATAACTAAGATCAGAGCAGAATCGAAGGAGATAGAGACACAAAAAAACCCTTCAAAAATCAATAAATCCAGGGGATGGTTTTTTGAAAAGATTGGCAAAATAACTAGACTACTAGCCAGACTAATAAAAAAGAAAAGAAAGAAGAATCAAATAGATGCAATAAAAAACTATAAAGGGGATATCACCATTGATCCCACAGAAATACAAACTACCATCAGAGATTACTGCAAACACCTCTGTACACATAAATCAGTAAATCTGGAAGAAATGAATAAATTCCTGGACATGTACATCCTCCAAAAACTAAACCAGGAAGAACTTGAATCCCTAAATAGACCAATAACAAAGTCTGAAGTTGAGGCATCAATTAATGTTCTACCAACCAAAAAAAAAAAAGTCCAGGCCCAGACAGGTTACAGCCGAATTCTACCAGACGTACAAAGAGAAGCTGGTACCATTCCTTCTGAAACTATTCCAAACAATACAAAAAGAGGGAATCCTCCCTAGCACATTTTATGAGACCAATATCATCCTGATACCAAAACCTGGCAGAGACAGAACTACAAAAGATAATTTCAGGCTAATATCCATGATGAATATCTATGCAAGTAGCTTCAATAAAATACTGGCAAACAGAATGCAGCAGCACATCAAAAAGCTTATCCATCAATATCAAGTAGACTTCACCCTAGGGATGCAAAGCTGGTTCAACATATGCAAATGTATAAATGTAATCCATCACATAAACAGAACTAAAGACAAAAATTGCATGATTACCTCAATAAATGAAGAGAAGGCCTCCAACAAAATTAAACAGCCCTTATGCTAAAAACTCTCAATAAACTAGGTATTGATTGAACACATCTCAAAATAATAAAAGCTATTTATGATAAACCCACAGCCCATATCACACTAAATGGGAAAAACTGGAAGCATTCCCTTTGAAAACTGGCACTAGACATGGGTGCCCTCTCTCACCATTCCTATACAACATAGTATTGGAAGTTCTAGCCAGAGCAATCAGGCAAAAAACAAAACAAACAAACAAACAAACAAACAAAAACAAAAAAGCAACGAAATAAAGGATACTCAATTAGAAAAAGAGGAAGTCAAATTGTCTCCTTTTGCAGATGACATGACTGTATATTTAGAAGACTCCATTGTCTTAACCTAAAGCCTCCTTAAAATGATAATCAACTTTAGCAAAGTCTCAGGATACAAAATGAATGTGTAAAAATCACAGGCATCCCTGTACACCAATAACAGACAGACAGCCAAATCATAAGTGAGTTCCCATTCACAATTGCTACAAAGAGAATAAAATACCTAGTTATACAACTTACAAAAAACGTGAAGGATCTCTTCAAGGAGAGCTACAAACCACTGCTCAAGGAAATAAGAGAGAACACAAACAGATGGAAAAACATTCCATGCTCATGGTTAGGAATTATCAGTATCATAAAAATGGCCATACTGCCTAAAGTAATTTATAGATTCAATGCTATTCCCATCAAGCTACCATTGACCTTCTTCACAGAACTTGGGAAAAACCACCTTAAACTTCATGTGGAACAAAAAGGAAGTGCAATTTTTTTTTTTTTTAAATTTCAGGTTGTGTGCTGTGACTCACACCTGTAATCCCAGGACTTTGGAAGCCAACACAGATGAATCACAAGGTCAAGACTATCCTGGCCAACATGGTGGAACTCTGTCTCTACCAAAGTTGAAATAATTAGCTGGGCTTGGGGACATGTGCCTGTAATTCCAGCTACTTGGGAGGCTGAGGCAGGAGAATTGCTTGAAGAAAAGGAAGATAAAGAAGAAGAAAAAGAAAAAAGAGAAAGAGTCTGAAGACAAACCTGAAACTGAAGATGTTAGTTCTGATGAAGAAGAAGAAGGAAAGAAGGATGGTGACAAGAAGAAGAAGATTAAGGAAAAGTACATTGATCAAGAAGAACTCAACAAAACAAAGCCCATCTGGACCAGAAATCCTGACAATACTACTAATGAGGAGTATGGAGAATTATACAAGAGCTTGACCAATGACTGGGAAGATCATTTGGCAGTGAAGCATTTTTCAATTGAAGGACAGTTGGAATTTAGAGCCCTTCTATTTTTCCCACTACGTGCTCCTTTTGACCTGTTTGAAAACAGAAAGAAAAAGAACACCATCAAGTGGTATATATGCAGAGTTTTCATCATGGATAACTGTGAGGAGCTAATCTCTGAATATCTGACTTTCATTACAGGGGTGGTAGACTCAGAGGATCTTCCTTTAAATATTTCTTGTGAGATGTTGCAACAAAGCAAAATTTTGAAAGTTATCAGGAAGAATTTGGTCAAAAAATGCTTAGAACTCTTCACTAAACTGGCAGAAGATAAAGAGAACTACAAGAAGTTCTATGAGCAGTTCTCTAAAAACATAAAGCTTGGAATACACGAAGACTCTCAAAATCAGAAGAAGCTTTCAGAGCTGTTGAGATGCTGCACATCTGCCTCTGGTGATGAGATGGTTTCTCTCAAGGACTACTGCACCAGAATGAAGGAAAACCAGAAACATACCTACCATATCACAGGTGAGACCAAGTACCAAGTAGCTAACACAGCCTTTGTGGAACATCTTTGAAAACATGGCTTAGAAGTGATCTATATGATTGAGCCCATTGATGAGTACTATGTTGAACAGCTGAAGAAATTTGAGGGAAGACTTTAGTGTCAGTCACCAAAGAGGGCTTGGAACTTCCAGAGGATGAAGAAGAGAAAAAGAAACAGGAAGAGAAAAAAACAAAGTTTGAGAACCTCTGCAAAATCACGAAAGACATATTGGAGAAAAAAGTTGAAAAGGCGGTTGTGTCAAACCGATTGGTGACGTCTCCATGCTATATTGTCACAAGCACATAGGGCTGGACAGCAAACATGGAGAGAATTATGAAAGCTCAAGCCCTAAGAGACAACTCAACAATGGGTTACACGGCAGCAAAGAAACACCTGGAGATAAACCCTGACCATTCCATTATCGAGACCTTAAGGCAAAAGGAAGACGCTAATAAGAACGACAAGTCTGTGAAGGATCTGGTCATTTTGCTTTATGAAACTGCGCTCCTATCTTCTGGCTTCAGTTTGGAAGATCCCCAGACACACGCTAACAGGATCTACAGGATGATCAGACTTGGTCTATGTATTGATGAAGATGACCCTACTGCTGATGATACCAGTGCAGCTGTAACTGAAGAAATGCCACCCCTCGAAGGAGATGATGACACATCATGCGTGGAGGAAGTGGACTAAGCTCTAGCTGAGGGGTTACTTACCTGTTCAATACTCTACAGTTCCTCTAATGATATATTTTCAAGGATGTTTTTCTTTATTTTTGTTAACATTAAAAATTCTGTATGGCATGACAACAACTACTTTAAGGGGAAGATAAAGGTTTCTGTCAACTTCTAAGTGATGCTGTGATACTTTGGGCAGTAAAGCAGAGCTAGTAATGCTTTTTTAGTTTCACATTAGCTTACATTAACAGATCGAGGTAATGTGTGTTGTAAGATGTATGTAACATGTTAATTTTGTGGTCTAAAGTGTTTAGCTATCAAGCCGGATTCCTTAGTAGACCAAATCTTGTTAACGAAGTGTTCCTGAGCTATACCTTGATGTTTAGAAGAAAAGTATTTGTTTTATCTTGTAGGATCTACTTTCTGAAATTTTCATCCCCCGTAGTTGCCAATTTGGCATGTACTAGTCCTCTAGAAATAGGTTAAACTGCAGCAACTTGATGGAACTCTCCACAGGGCTTGTTTTCCAAAGAAAAGTATTGTTTGGATGAGTAGTTATTAGCCTACATAGCATATCATAAGCTGTTCAAAAATAACTTGGAGCCAGTCTGTGGATGGAAATGTAGTGCTTGAGTCACATTCTGCTTAAAGTTGTAACAAATACAGATGAGTTAAAAGAAAAAAAAAAAAGATATCAAGTGCCAATTTGGATATGAAAACAAGATCCACTCTTCTGCTGTCTTCATGAGACTTGTCTCACATGTAATGACACCTATAGGCTCAAATTAAAGAAATGAAGAAATACCTATTACACCCATTTGAAACAAAGAAGAGCAGAGGTTGTCAAACATAATACACTTGAAGCCAACAACAGTAAAAAAGAAAAAAGAAGGGCATTACATAATGTTAAAATATTTGGTACAACAGGAAGATTTAATTTTCCTAAATATATACACAACCAACATTGGAGCATGTAGATTTATAAAACAAGTATCTACAGACACCAGAAAACAATCTACAGACATCAGATAGCCAAACAATAATAGTAGAGACTTTCAGCACCCAATTGTCATTATTAGGGAAATACAAAGACAGAAAAGTAACAAATTCTGGACTTCCATATGGCACTTGACTAATTGTACTTAATAGATATCTAGAGAATACTGCACGTAATAACCAAAGAATATACATTCTTCTCATCTGCACACAGAACATACTCTAAAATTGACCATATGCTTTCTCATGAAGCAAGTCTCAATAAATTAAACAAAAAGGATTATATCAACTATCTTCTCAGACTATGGTGGAACTAACAACAAAAAAAAGGCTTTAGCAAGAGGAACTCTCAAAACCACACAAATACATGAAAACTAAAAAACTGGCTCATGAATGACTTTTTGGGTGAATAATAAAATTAAGGAAAAAACAAAAAATTATTTGAGACAGTGAAAATACAGACATAACATACCAAAACCTCTGAGAATGCAGCAAAAGCAGTGTTAAGAGGATAGTTTATAGCACTAAACACTTACATCAAAAGGACAGAAAGATCTCAAATTAGCAACCTACCCTCACACCTAAAAGAACTAGAAAAGTAAGAACTAACTAAGCCCAAAGCTAGCAGGAGAACAGAAATAACTGAAATCAGAGCAGAATCTAAATTTCATTTAGACCCCAAAAACCATACAAACGAACAATTAAACAAATAGTCGGTTCTTTGAAAAGACTTAAAAAAAAAAAGATTGATAGACTGCTAGCTAAATTAATGAAGAAGGGAGATGATCCAAATAAGCACCATCAGAAATAACAAAGATGATATTACAACTAACCCCACGGAAATATGAAACATCCTCAGAGAGTACTATGAACATCTGTATGCACAAAGACTAGAAAATCTGGAGGAAATGGATTAATTCCTAAAAACACACAAATTTCCAAAGCTGAATCAGAAAGACACAGAAATCCTGAACAGACCAATAGGTAATGAAATTGAATCAGTAATAAAAAAAAGCCTACTAACCAACAAAAACTCCACCAGATCGATTTGCAGCAGGATTCTACTAGACTTAGAAAGAAGATGTGATATAAATCCTGCTGAAACTACTGAAAATTGAAGAGAAGGGACTGCTCCCTAACTAAACTTACAAAACCAGTATCATTCTGATACCAAATTCTGGCAGACACATCCAAAAACGAAAACGTCAGGCCAATATTCCTGAGGAATATAGATGCAAAAATCCTCAACAAAATACTAGCAAGCCAAATTCAGCAGTACATAAAAAAGTTAATTCACAATAATCAAATGGGCTTTATTCCTGGCATGCAAGGAGGGTTTAACACACATAAATCAGTAAATGTAATTCACCACATAAACAAAATGAAAAATAAAAAATATGATCATATCAATGCACATGTAAAAAAATTAGTAAACTCTAACATTCTGTCATGATAAAAATCCTCAACAAAGTAGGCATTGAAGAAACATATCTCCAAGTAATAAGATATATCTATGACAAACCCATAGCCAACATCATAGCAAATGGGCAAAACCTGGAAACTTTCCACCCTACAAATTAGACCAAGATAAGGATATCCGTTATTCAGCATAGTACTGGAAGCCCCAGCCAGGGCAATCAGGCAGGGGAAGAAAATAAAATAATCAAAACAGGAAAATAGGAAGTCAAATTCTCTCTCCACTGACATTGTGATTCTATAGCTAGAAAACCCTAAAGATTCTGCAAAGTACATCTAGATAAGCTAAGTGACTTAAGCAAAGTCTCAGGATACAAAATCCGCTAGCATTTATATGCACCAGTCACATTTCATGGAAACCGAATCAATAATTAAATACTATTAACAACACACACACACACACACACACACACACACACACACATACACACACAAATACAAACTGAGACTACCTCTAAACAACGAGGTAAAAGGCCTCTACAAAAACTAAAAAACACTGCTGAATGAAATCAGAGACCATACAAAGAAATAGAATAGCATCATGTGCTCATGGGTTGAAAGAACAAATATCATTAAAATATCCATATTACCCAAAGAAATCTATAGATTAAAGCTATTCCTATCAAATTACCAAATTGCTGTTCACAGAATTAGAAAGAACTATTCTAAAATACATAAGAACAAAAAAAAGGCCCTGAATACCCAAAGCAATCCTAACCAAAAAGAATACAGCCAGAGTCATCACATTACCTGACTTCAAACTGTACTGCAAAGCTACAGTAACCAAAACAGCAGAATGATTCTGGTATAAAAATAAATAAATAAATAAAGACACAACAATGAAACAGCCCAGAGAACCCAGATAAAGCCATACAACTACCACCAACAAATCTTCCACAAAGTCAACAAAAATAAATGAGGAAAAGATATCCTATTCTGTAAATAGGAATGAGAAAATGAGCTAATTCTCACCAGATACAAAAATTAACTCAAGGCTGAGCATAATGGCTCATGTCTGTAATTCTAATGCTTTGAGGGGCTGAGGCTGGAGGATAAGTTAAGCCCCAAAACTTGAGACCAGCCTGAACAACATAATGAAACCCCATCTCTAGCAAAAGTTAGAAAAAATAGCTGGGCATGGGGTTATGTGCCTGTTGTCATAGTTACTTCAGAAGCTGAGGCAGGAAACATGCTTGAGCCAAGCAATTCAAAGTTGTAGTGAGCTATGATTACACCATTGCTCTAAGTTTTCTAAGAAAATTTAGGAAATACTCTTGTAGACACTGGCCTTGGCAAAAAAATCACCAGTTTCCTCATCTATAATGTGAAATTACTGATAGTACTTCTTTATAGTGTGGTTGTAATGGTTTCATCAGCTACCATGCAGAAAACATGTAGAAAATATTGTAAACATTGCAATAACATTTACATTTATTGTTTACTGAGATGGGGAAGACTACATGTGGGTCTGTCTGAAACAAAAATTATTGATGTCATTCTGCCTCCACCATAGCTCTTCATTGATGTGTCTGCCAGCCTTATGTCTGTGAGCCCCTGGGAAAGGTTAGTAAGGGTCTCATTCTAGGAAAGCACTTTGTGCAGCCCCTGGAACGGAGGAAAGCCTCCAGCATGTCCGCTAAGAATGAGCATTGGAGAAGCCCTGGTAGTCCAGGCGATAGCTTGAGGGGGAGGCTTAACTTCCCTCTTGTCTTTTCAGTCCCTCAGATATCATGAACAGGAAAAGGTGGAAAAAGAAGTCTTTTTCCTTTACCAATTTTAGGTGATTTGCTAAGGCCCCCCAAATCAGGTTGTCAAAGGACAGTATAACAGGAGAAAAATGGATTATTCTGATTATTATCCCGTGCAGGGTACAAGGAGGAATCTTAGTGATAAGTAGCCCAAAGGGGTAGTTAGAACTTGGGCTTACATAGCACCTTAACAAAGAGCAATGCGTTTGTAGAGGTGACAAGACAGTTAGACTTCCGAGGGCGAAGGTCAACACATGGGAGCACTCATGGAGTATGCTTGTGCAGGTCCATCTAAATGGTGAATTTTTGTTCTATTCATGGCCAGAAAACGTCCCTGTGAGAGGGGTTGATGGAAGTTCTCATTTCTAAGGAGTTTTCTGCTTTTACTCAGATAAGAGTTGTGCCAGGAAGGCACATGCATTTGTTGAATCTGATTTGCCTCCACTTCAAAATAACCCTTATGCCAAAGTGGCTTATGTTGGGGTGGCATATTTTGATCCTCAACAAACGTAACATTAAAAAATTAAAATATCGTATTTGCCACTGACATTCATTTCAATACACCCCAAATAAATGTAGAGTCCTGCAAGAGTGAGTAAATGACGTTTAAAGAATTTCTCAGCCTCCTTGTTGAGCCAGAATGGCCCTCCTTACATGGGAAATCATGAGCCACTATTGCTGAGAAAGCCTTTGCAAAGGAGGGTTGAATCTGGCTGGTAACTTGCTGGGATTTTTGAGGATGGGCAGATTTCCAGTGAGTCACTCAGAGTCTTATAAATGCAAAATATCCTATTTT